AAACTGTGGACGGGAGGGCTGGACAACACCGTCCGCTGCTGGGACCTCCGAGAGGGACGGCAGCTCCAGCAACACGACTTCACCTCGCAGGTACACACTCGCCACAGTCCAGACTAATGGGTGTTCACGCTGCGCACAGGCTGCTCATGATCGATAACACTTCCCCCGCTCACAACTCTACATTTCATTTTCTACCTTCCTTTGATTCCTTTTCCTCCCTCTCCGTCTCCAGATCTTCTCTCTGGGCTACTGTCCGACAGGCGAGTGGCTGGCTGTGGGAATGGAGAGCAGTAACGTGGAAGTCCTGCATGTCTCCAAACCTGACAAGTACCAGCTGCACCTCCATGAGAGCTGCGTTCTTTCTCTCAAGTTTGCCTACTGTGGTACGTACACACACACACACACACACACACACACACACACACACTAGGGAGGCAGAACAAATGTTCTGCTTCTCTCATTATTCAGAAACAGTTTCTTTCTCTTCACCTCTCCCGTTCTTCTTTAGAAAAGCAGCGCTTCCTCTCAGGCTTCTCCATATCTCCGCTCCCCTGAGACTTTATCTGTTGATGGTTGTGTGTGTTTCGTCCTGTAGGTAAATGGTTTGTGAGCACAGGCAAAGATAACCTTCTGAATGCATGGCGGACACCATATGGATCCAGCATATTCCAGGTAAGCCATAAAACACTGAGTTTTGAGTACAACTGTCTGCAAATGCAAGAAAATAATTAAGATAGTGGAAACGATTCACTTGTCAAATGTAAAAGATTTTCAAGCTTTTTTTTCATTTTCCTGCTTCTTCATCCTCTCGATTCATTGACGGTAGCTAACATGGCTTCCTCCCTGTGTCTCTTCAGTCTAAGGAGTCTTCGTCAGTTCTCAGCTGTGATATCTCCCCTGACGACCAGTTCATCGTCACTGGCTCTGGGGACAAGAAGGCCACAGTCTACGAAGTAATCTACTGAGCTCCGATTGGCTGAAAAAAACAACTAATAATCAGGGGGCGGGGCCAAGGCTCCCTCCTGCACCAATGACTGTACAGAGCGTCGGTGGCATGGGAAACAAGAGACACTCAACTTGTACTTTGTTGTTTTGTTTACGTTTGTGAAAGAAATGAGAAAGAGAAGCAAGGGGGCACAAAGTCACATCTCTGGAAAAAAAACGAACTTTGAACTTTGTTTTTAATGCTCTGAGAACGCTGGTTAGTCTATAGCTGCGCAATTGTCGGATTCCTCCAAAGAACTTTCGCTTTTGTTCCTTTTTGTTCCTTTTTTTTAAAAAAATAAAACCTCTGTAGTGAACAAGAAATTAGCAAAAAAAAAAAAACAACTTATTTTTTTAGCCTTTTGAATTTTTCGCGATCCGTTGGACAGCATCGAGTGGAAAAAGACATGGGACTGAGGAAGTGAGGGAAGGGTTTAGGGGGTGCTGGGAAATCTTAATGGAAAAATATGCTCCATATTCTGTGCTGTGTAAAAAAAAAAGTCCCAGCCTGGGTCAGCTGGTCCAGTTTGGCCTTGTCTGGTCCAGCTCCGTGGCTGCTCCTCGGGGCAGCAGATGCATGGCAGGATGGGGTGCTGTGAGGTTCCAGCTATTTTTTTTTTTTTCCTCCTGGCTAAGTTTCAGCAGCAACATGATTGTATCATCTCCAGAATATACAGAACAGAACAGGGCTCGGTTTTCTCCAAAGTGTCCTAAGAGTTTGTCTTTGTTCCTTCTTTTTTTCTTTATAAAAGAACAAATCCAGACTTATTGTGGAGATGTTTTTGGGGGAAACCACCCTGGAACAGAAAACCATGACACCCCCCCCCCCCCCCCCCCCCCAGGACAGAAAACTGCAGTCGGCTCAAACCGCTCACAGCAGGCACTCTCCAAGCTTTCGGGATGTTGCCTCCGATACGTCAACGTCATCCTTGACACTCAACATTAAATGTTTTTGTTTTTTTTAATTATATTCATTAGGGCACATATAGGCAGACAGGTATTTTCACAACTGCATCATGAACCTTGAACCTTGCTATATATGGACATGTAAATAAAGTTCTCTAAAGGCAAACATGTTATCTGTGACTTGGATCTGCTTCAAGAAGACTGCTGGGAGTGTGGGGCATCTCTCAAACACACATGCAGTTGTTGTCTGAGATCTGCATTGGGTCATTTGTGTTTTTTTGTCTTTCATGAGCATCTTCTCGCAGAGAAAAACGGATTGAAACAGCTCCGTAAGGATCAGTGCAGGTGTGAAAGGTAACAATGGTGTGCGTGTGCGTGTGCGTGCTGCTGGCTATCAAAATGTTTTTCAGCTGCAGAACCAAGACTGATTCTTGCCGGGTTAAACTTGAATGTTTAAAACAAACACAAGTCAAAAGAAGCATCTTTGTTTAAACCCCAACAGTCAGAAATGCGTCTGCTCGCTGTGAGGTGCCAGAAAAATGCAGCCGTACAGTTGTGTTGTGTTTTTATGCTGAGCTAGCTCGCAGTGTGGGGAGACAGGTGATCTGCTGTACAATAGGCTGAGGAATGGATTATTCTAGCAATAATACCCAAGAGGGAGTTCAAAAGTGATTATGTGTGTAGTGGTGACTGTCCTGCCAAGACAAAAAGCTTTAAGAGAGAATAAACCTGAGTAAAGCGTGTTTTCTCCTTCCTAAAGTAAAGGATTGCTGGCACACATTGCTGTGTGCAATGTGTGCTGTGTGTTGATGTAAAATCAAAACTGCGGTTTTGGCCTTTTTTAAATGCTGCTGATAATAGCCATGAAGAGGGCGTGTGCACAATGAATTACTAATGAATGAGACTGAATAAAGAAACAGCGCATCGCTAGCCGGCTCAGTGCTTTGGTTATATCGCTGGGCTGAAGAGTCATATCGGTATCTATATTAATGAATGTATACAGAAGGATTCACAAATGGGTTTTGTAATCTTCATATAAATGACACTACACAAAAATGTTTTTTAATGCACACAATGTTATGGCACAAATGTAACTGTTCAAGCAGTATTTGACAGTGAACTTTAAACTAAAAGGTAATAATTCAACTTTGGTGAGCTTCAGGGAGGTGATGTAATGTAGGTGCTCCCGCTTAACAAATACCCATCATGGCATGTGCACATTAATACGGGATAGAGACCAGGGACATATAAATTATGCCTACTCACAAAAACCCATAAAATGTCTAAGTAAACTGGTATTTCTAACCTTGTAGAAAAACCTTGTTTATTTAAGTTGTTTGCCAATTTCAATTATCAATTATTTTCTTCTATTCATTACTTTTCATTTTTTGTTTGTGCCAAAAGTGTCATAATATAGTATGCCATGAAAAAATGACATAACTCATTAAAATGTTAGTATAGTATTACATGTCACGAAAAACTTATTGTACAGTATAATGTATAAAGTTAAAAATACCATACAACAGTATGCCATAAAAAATGGTGTCATAAAAAAGTTATACTATAGTATGACACAGAAATGTTATCGTATAGTATGCCATAGTCAGAGTATAATTTGTCATAAAAGTGTCAAAAATATGTTATAGCAAAGACTGTGACAAAAATGCAATAGCACACTAATGCCATAAAAATGTAAAATAAATCACAGTAGGCCTATAGCATGCCATAAAACCTTTTAAAAAGTCATAGAATAGTTTGCCATAGAAAATGCCATAACATTTTTATAGTATTGTATTCCATAAAAAGCATTGTGTGTCATACAAAATGTCAGAAAAATGTCATGGTATAGTGTCAGTATAGTATGTCAAAGAAAGTCATAGTATGATGTGTTGAAACCAGTCGTAAAAAAAATCATAGAGTATGTGAAAAAAATGTCATTGTATTGTATGCTATAACTTTTTATTTTAAGTCATAGAATGCCACAAAAATATCATAAAAAACTAATAGTATATGCCATGAAAATGTCACCACATACTGTAGATCATAAAATGCCAAAAAAAAACAATGTCATAGTATAGTATGCTGAAAAATGTAGTTAAGTATGCAGTATAAAAAGTTTTACACTTTTCAGACTGCGGAGAAAGTTTTTTTCCACATTGTGAATGAAAATGTGGTTCTCTAGTATTGGTTATTTGGCCTCCTTTCCTTTTTTTCCCCCCCCCCCCCCCCCCCCCCCCCCTCTGCATTTAAATCTCAGGGAAAGATTGTCACAGCAGACACCTGAAAGGATGAACACAAGTTTGGTTTATTTTTCACACATAGTATTTCTTGTACAGCACATGGGAAACGCATCAGGAGGGAAAATTACAGTGCAGTTAAAAAAAAAAAGTTCCTTGGCTTTTTAAAAGAAACTAAACGGAAAATAAAAGTTTTCATACTGTTGGAACAGAGAAAGCAGAGGCAGGGGGGAAGAGACATTACAGTTAAAGAAGAGTATCAAATACAATGTCCCAAATATTCACGCTATAACTGCATAGCCGTTATACAGCATCGTTCGGAGTAGTATACAAGCTTGTGTATGAGAATATCGTTTAGGTCTGCCTGTCGCTGACGGGCAGGAAGTTAAAGAGGCAGGCAAAGGCATTCAACTGTACAAACCATCTCGCTGGTACAGTAGCCGCTGTAGAAGTCCCTCATACTTCTTCTAATCTGCATTAGTGCTGCAGTGAGACACATTGACAAATCTTGCTAAAAGTTAAAACAATTGAATTAAATTGCATACTGTAATGTATCCGTCTGTTAAACTGTGGCTGTGAGACCATTCACTGGATCTACTGCGTAAACTCTGATTCGTCTCGTTCTTTCAGCAGAAGTGGAGCTTTAGTGCAACAAGCATGCAGTAAAAAGTGGGACCTCTCCGGTGGCTAAATCTGTATATTGTCCTGCTGTACACCGACCACAGACTCAACAGAAACATAGTTTAGTTGCACAATGACTGAAAACAGACTACACTACATTGACTACCACTTTTGTTAAAAAAAGGGAATAAAACAAAAACAGAAGACAGAACAGTCTTATTTTTTTTCTTTACATGGGACTGCTGATGTTACCTTTGCCTGTCACCACCACCAAGGATAAAAATATACAATTTCAAAAAAAAAGTTAAAAGAACAAAAAACAATTTTCCCACCTGTGTTCCATTTGATTTTATAGGTCACCGTGTGTGAGTGCGTTCCTCTCCGTTTGCTCCCCTGAACCCCGAAACGCAGTCATAGGCAACCCCAATACATAAACATATCATTACATAAGACGAGCAATCACTATTCATATAAAATACTGAAATGAATGAGTACTAAAAGAAAAGCTTGAAATGTGCCTGTTTAGTCTACACATTGGTGACGCAGAAGCAGAGATCTCTGATATACAGTTTGCCTGCCAATTTGGAATATGATACAAGAAGGACTGAAGAGCAAGAATCGAGTATACTTTTGACATTTTGGGAAATATGTTTATTCCCTTTCTTGCTGAGGCGACAATAAGAAGGTTGATACCGCTGTCATGTCTGTACAGGAAATATAAGGCTACAGCTAGCAGCCTGTTAGCTTAGCTTAGCAAAAATACTGGAAATAGCTAAATCCACCTACCAGAACCTCGCAAGACAAATAATAAACACATTTTATCATGTTTCTTGTATCCATTCCATAACTGAAGTGTATGATTAATACACTTTGGCGTTTTACAGGGCGGTTCTGGTGTGACTGTTTCTTGGCGGGGAGCAGATACCAGGAAACAAGTACTTCAGGAAGATACTGCTCCACACCAACAAATAGTCCCCACATAAAACAGCAAATTGTCATTTTAACATCAGCTATAACATGTTAATTAGTGAGCTTTAGAGGTGCTGATAAGTATATTTTGTTACCTCTGGTACCTCTGGCTAGCTGTTTCCCTCTGTTTTCAGTCTTTATGCTAAGCTAGGTTAGCAGGCCACTTGTTACTGAGCCTACAGACAGAGTGGTATCAATCTTCTCATTTAAATCTATAAGCGTGATTTCCAAAATGTCAAACTTTTCCTTTAAACTGTTTAGCATCTCAATTAAAAGCAATCAATAGCTTAGCGAACTAGATTTAGCCAGAGCACTTTGAGCACTAGCACATCAGCAGGCAGGCGGAGACAATGACGTTGATAAACATGTAATTCTCATCTGGTTTGTAAATGAAAACAGCAACTAGTTGCATAAAATTGGTAAAGATTTGGATTAGTCGCTGCTCAGTTGGCTGCTGATGATAGCGTAATCGGTGGTGTTAATTTGCCCCCTTGTCTGCCTTACAGTGAAGTTGGCGTGCTGCTACTTCATCTAGCTGACAGTGCCTTTAATGAGAGTGAGTGCAGCGCCCGGTGTCAGGAGAACAATCCAGAGGAATTAGAGGGAACAGCTCGGCTGATGTTCTGTGTTCGTGTCTCTGGGCCCTGGGAGGATCCCCATTGACTCCGCTGCTCATTAGACGCTGCCTTTGTCAGACCAAAATAAAATAGATATTAAGCAGTGAGACGGGGAGCGCTGCGATGAATGTTTAATTGGGTGCTCTGTATGTTGCGTGTGTTTCTCTCTTCCTACGATTACATCAAGGGGGTGTATCTCAGTGTGTGTGTATTCTTGCTCGATGACATGCGCCTGTATGTGTGTGTGAACAGGGTATGTTACATGTCAGAGTATGTGGATATCTGAAGCGACCCCCTCCATCTCGAAGCGTCATCTTTCCCCAGCTCCTGACACCTCTCGCTGGGGAGAGCGAGCTGCAGCGTCAGCCCCATTAAGGCTTCCACTGTCTGGCTAATGAATCAATTGTGTGGTATCAGTGCTCCTGGCTGGCGCTCCCACAGTGCTGCTCCGCACCTCCTCTGGGGGCCTCCCTTCCACTGAGCTTTTAATCAGGAAACAGCCCTAATTACCCTCCCTCCCTCCTCCTCCTCTTCCTCCCTTTCATTTCTCTTCCTTCCGCACTCTCGCTTTCTCTCCTCCTTCTCGTCTTTCCCTCCCGACTTTATCTTTATGCTCCACCGCCCTTTTCCTTTGTCCTTCTTATCTTGCTGCTTCCCTTTCTGCCTCTCTCTCTCTGCTATCATGCCTCATCCTTGGGCTAAAAGTGGAAGGGAGGAGGAAGGAGGAGGCATTTGGGAGCTCCCACAATAGCTTATATCACAAGAAAAAGGGGGAGAGGGGGTGATGTATTAGGGGTGAGGGTCAGGAGGACTCAGAGGACTGAGACGGAGGTGCTGCTGTTGCGGATGTTATGAAGATCAGGAGCGGTTGGCGTGGCAACTGGTTGCCCCCCCCACCCCCAAAATCTCCGTCCTGTCTCTTTCCATCTTGTCCCGGCCCTCAGTACACCACCTCGTACACCGTGGCCTTCTTGTCCCCGGAGCCCGTCACTATGTACTTGTCGTCCGGAGAGACGTCACAGCTCAGCACAGACGAGGACTCCTTGGACTGGGGGAGAGAGAGAGAGAGAGAGAGAGAGCGAGGGAGAGGGAGAGAGATGTGATAGATGGATGGAGACAGATGGAGACAGATGGAGAGAAACAAAGAGAAAGACGTTAGAAAAGATATGACTCATCAGCTGATACTCAATCATATAAGACATATTTGCATTTCAATACAGTTGGCAATTATTTCCAAACAGACAACTCCACAGCTCCAGGATGCTGACTCATTTGTCTGCTTCAATGTGAGACACAGCCTCATTAACTGCACGTTTAAGCATCACTAGCAGCACAAGTCTGACGGTCTGTAAGAACTGGCAAAATGCACAATCCTCTTCTTTTTTTCACCCCTTTTTCTCCCGTGTTTGAACGCTAGACCTGGGCACCTGGCTTTAGATGATATAAAGCTCCCTCTAGACCCCCTCCTCCTCCTCCCCCCTGCTACATCATCATTTATCTTGCTTCCTTCCTTTCTCCCCAGACTCTCCTCCTCCTCCTCCCTCTCCGGCTCCCCTTTTGCTGTCCCCCCCTCTCATGTCGACTCCTCCTCGTCTCTAACTCCGCTCCCCTCTCCTCCCCTCCCCGCTACAGGCACAGCAGAGCTGTCAATCATCAAGCCACCGGTGAGAGGCCATTTCACACAGGATCCCTCATACTATACCAAGATAGCAGGTGGGGGGAGATGGGGAGCGCTGAGGAGGGAGGGACGCAATGACAAGCCAAAAGATGAGTTTGGAAGGGGTGTGAGTCAGAGATGGAGTGGGAATGAAAAATAAATCGAAACAAAGAAAGAGGAAAACTTTGTTCTGACGCTATTTAGTAGTTCATGTTAGACACTGAATTCCTGTCTTGATTAAGTGTGGTGAATTGTATAAACACCAGGGACCACAATGGAAGTGTTGTATTTCTGTAAATATAGTAGAGTGCATTCAGTAATGTATGATTAGGCATTACCGACAATGTGACATTAATATCTATGCCAATAAAGCTTATTTGATAAAAATGAAAAAGATTTAGAATAAATGCGACGGACAGTTGGAGAGAATGAGGAGAGAGAGAGAGAGGGAGGGTAAAAAAGTGAAAGGCAGTGTAGGAAAAAAGGATTAGAAATATTGAAGAGAAGACAGAGATAAACCAAAGGACAAGGAAAGATAAAGGACAACAATAAACAGAGAGACGAGAGAGGAAAAATGAGAGGGGCTCCGGGGTTAAAGAGAAGCAAGGAGACAGAAAGTGGAAGGGACATTGATAAACTAGAAAGGAGGAAGAGGACAGAGAGAGAGAGCAGCGCTGTATAACACAGTGACAGGAGGGAGCTGTTTGGCAGGAGAAACGTTTGGCATTTGGATAACAAAGCAGATAGCCAGCATTCTCCTTCAGTCCACAGGGAGAGACAGGAGCCGCCAACCCTGCTGCCCACTGTAGCTTACAGAAATATGACAGCCACACACACACACACACACTCAGAATTCTCATCTTAAATGTACCTTCATCTATAAATGCTAGTTTCATTCACACCCAAATGAACTTGCTCAGCTAAAAATATTGCACCCTGCATATTCATGTTTCCAAACGGAGCGTTGGAACACGATGGAGTTATTACATTTGTTCTGTTTTGTGTGTGCATTTGGCAGCCTGCACTCTCTGATAAACCTTCGCAAGTCAAAGTCTGTACTTCCTCATCTCTTTCTCTCTTGTGCCTCGAGGGCCCAGTGTGTGTGCATGTGTTTGTGTGAGGGAAAGGAAGCAGAGGTAGCTTAAATGGTAAATGGACTTGTGTAGCACTTTTCTAGTCTTCCGACCATTAAAAGCGCTTTAACACTACATGTCATCATTCACATCCATTCATACACCAGTTAGCAATTCGGGGTTAAGTGCCTTGCCCAAGGACACCTCGACATGGACTCAAACCGCCAATCCTCTGATTGGAGGACGACCCTGCTCTGCCACTGAGCCACAGTCGCCCCACACTATCCACAACAACACGATCCACATTGACTAACAGATGACTCTGCAGCCTCAAATACACTCATATATAAACAAGTACACACACAGAGCATTACGCTCGTTTCTCACCTGGAAAATACTCGCTCCATATGGTGTCCTCCATGCATTCAACAGATTGTCTTTTCCTGTGCTCACAAACCACTTGCCTGAAATAACACAGAGAACTACAGGTTAAACAAAGAAAATGGGGTGATAATATATATATATATACGCAATATACTGTGCATAAACTCCATACCAACAATGTGGAGAGTAGTTATTGTTTGTGTGTGTGTGTGCGTGCATACCGCAGTAGGCGAACTTAAGGGAGAGAACGCAGCTCTCATGGAGGTGCAGCTGGTACTTGTCAGGTTTGGAGACATGCAGGACTTCCACGTTACTGCTCTCCATTCCCACAGCCAGCCACTCGCCTGTCGGACAGTAGCCCAGAGAGAAGATCTGGAGACGGAGAGGGAGGAAAAGGAATCAAAGGAAGGTAGAAAATGAAATGGAGATAGGAGGGGGAGGGGGAGGACAGGAGAAAGGAGGCACGGGTGCAGAAAAGAAAACAAAAATGGGGAATGGGGGATGAGGGACGGAAGAAGATAAGGTTGATGAGAGAATGTGAACAATGGAGGGAAGTTGGGACGATATCAAGGAAAAGAGAAAGATTAGTGAGGATGTTTTAAAAAAAAAAAGGAAAGAGTAGAACGACAGAGACAGAAGTAATTGATTGAATTAATACATTGGAAAAATAAAGAGAGAATAGCAAGAGAGAGACGGCAAGCGAGAGAGAAAGTCATTACACGGTGGATCGAAACTCATCTGACAGCGGTGGTCAACTCTATAGCTCTGTTGTGGCAGTGAGGAGTGAATGAGAGAGACTGTGTGTGTGTGTGTGTGTGTGTGTGTGTGTGTGTGTGTGTGTGTGTG